CTGTCCTTCGACATAATTTTTGACCTCGGAAACACTGCAGTACGAGAAGGCAACCAGTGCTTAAATGCTGAATACGTACACAAGAAAATGGGCTTACTGCAACGAGTAATTGGCAATGTATAGTGAACTACACCGTGGTGCATACAAGGAATCCTTGCCGAGTTCAGTTCAGACCAGTGTATTGAAGGGAAAAGGGGGCCAAATCCCAAGTTTCCTGATATCCAAGAAATTTGCTACGCTAATAAACGCTGTGGATGAAGGCGTCTAGTTTATGCCTATGTTACTATAAAAGAACAATAATATAAGTTAGAAAAGTTTTAACCATACCTTTTCTTAGGACCGAAAATTTTGTTTTACTTTTATGGAACTCAGGTAAATGCAAGCATCTTACAGTCTCTTATTCGTGTGACGTCCCAATCGGTGCAAACAAGCGAACATCTGGGTGCCTTAATCCAACACATTTTAAACAATGTACATACGGAAGAAACAACTGGTAACTATAATGACACGATGTCGGAATAAATACGCGAACTTCAGGTTGTTTAATAACAGCTGTACTTTACATTGTGCGGCTTATAAACGCAGAGGTATCTGAAAATTTCACAAAAGGAGTATTTTTAAATGTCCTTCTACTTGTGCTGCTTTATTCGCCCGGTTTTTGCATGATAACCCATCAGAATGCATAAGATAAATGCCACATTTTTTTAGCCTGTCCTGACAAATTGAAATAGCCGCTGCTTACTTATATCTTGGATTATAAGGGCTAAACTCGACCTCGATCAACTTAATCTTCTCCAGCTGTGCATTCAAAGTTTAAATTTGCGTAGAAACCCCGATTTTTTTACTCTTTCGGAATTTTCCGCTTTCCTAAAAAAGTAGGTACTTCTAAACAACGCAATATTACTTGATAAAGCACAACCATCATTTCTTGACTGCTATAGGACTTTGGGGAACGCAGCATGAGCTGCTTTTGCGTAACCTTAGTTTTCATGAGTTAGGGTAGGTACTGTAGGTGACACTTATGCGTGGATGATGCGATGAGCACATGCGTAGTTTGGGTAGGTTGGTGTGTATGTACTAGGCGGAAATCCTGGATAACATTCGTTTACCTATCATAATTTTGGATGTGTTCATGACCGAGTGAGCGCGCATGACTTCCTGGGAGAGAGCGAAGAAGGGAGGCTCGCGGACCGAATGTTGGCGGAGCTTCCTCCAATTAGTTCACCAGTCACGCTCTGACGGATTCGCCGGTAGTCACACCAGACCGATGCCTTATTCAGGCTTGCGGACACAATAAGTATGTACAAGTGGACATTGTGTCTGCATCGATAGCGTAAGTGTCCTCAGTGTCCTGGCGGTGTTCCCGTTTCAGTAGGTACATTGAGTTGTGATAGGGAACCGGAACGTTATTCTACGCAGAAGACAATGCAGGTTGGGTTGTCTTTAACCATGATTAATATGTTGGTGTGTCGCGCAAATGAGTATAGTTGTAACATTGGCTATGCAGACATGCGGGCCGAGGTTGGGCGTTGGCGGCTTTGGTTCGCAACATTCCAGTCGCGCATGATTGTCACCCGTAGTGGACATCGTCGAACACGACGATCATCATCATCATCATCATCATCGTCGTCGTCATCATCATCATCATTATATTCTTCTTCTTCTTTTTCTTTTTCTTCTTCTTCTGCCCATCCACAGTTGCAAGGTTCACCAGCTTGTCCATCCCTTTCCTTTTCAGTCCCGCCCATGGACGCGAACCGGTAACGGAGCATGAGTAGTACCTTTCAGTCGATAACTGATAGGTTACCCGTCTCAGAAGGGTGTTGGCCCAGGCTTCGTGCAGGGCTGCTCTCACCCTTCTGAGATTGAATGTCTGTATGCACATGCAATGTCAGCCCTCGGCCGACCATGGTACCTGTGGCCTGGTAGGCGCTGGCACTTTCTCTCGGTTCTGATTCCCTGTCGGTGCAT